GAGCGGGGGAGGGGAGGGGAGAGGAGGGCGCGCTCTCGCCGCATGGGGGGGAACGAAGAGAAGAGCAAACCTGAAGAGGTTGAGCAGTGTAAAGCCAGCGGTTGTTCAATCCGTTCACAGATCCGTCGTGGCGGTGCCAATCGGGCACGTCATACACGTTGCCACGTTGCCACGTGACTAAATGTATGATAGGGACCAGCAATGACGGCTTCTCTGTAAGCAGCGTTCGAGGCGGCGATCATCCAGTGAGCGTTCACCTTCTTCTGCGGGCGCATGGCGGTTACACCCGCATTCGCTTCCGCACTCGCATCCGCACTCGCATCCGCATCCGAAGCGCCTGACAAGCGTCCGCACATCCATCCTCTACCCCTTCAAGGGTACTTCATTCTGCCTGCCCCGCTCTCCCCAAAGCTTCCGACGGGGCCAGCAGCCGATTCCCGCCCCCTCCCCCTGCGCCCCGCGCCCCGCACCCCGCATCGCCCCCCCCCCCGGCCATGGTCACGCCCGTGCCCCTCGTCGCGTTGCTCTCGCTCCACCTGGCGCTCTCCCTCGCCTCGTTCACCGCGCGCGACTTGCGGGGAATGTACGTCTTCCAGTTCGGGGCGGGCACGTGCCCCACGCGCCTGACGATCACTGCAAACTCGCTGACGGTGCGGCCGGAGGACATCTCGGTGAACGACTCGCGGTGCTCTGCCGGTTCGCTGAGTGCGGCGGCGAACCCGTCGTCGTCGACGGCCGGCCTGGTGCGGTACCTGCGCGGGACTCGCGAGGCGGGGGACATCGTCGCCGTGTTCGTGGAAGCGGATCTGGAGTGCCCCGCGCGCACGCTGGGCGCGGACTCGCGCATGGTGTTCGCGGCGGCGGAGGCCGACCTGACGGTGTCGTGGGCGCGGGTGTTCGAGAACAACGAGACGTTCCTGGCGACCAACTCGCCCACGGCGGACCGGTTCGTGTTCCGGGAGGGGCGGCAGCACATGGTGATCGACAACCTGTGCATGTACAACCGGATCGACATCCCGGACCCGCCGGGGCGCAAGTGCTTCCCGGCGCGCGCGACGGCGCGCACGCGAGGCGGCGCGGCGGTGCGC